AGAATAATGAGCCAACTTTAGTGCTTACCGATATTACTGATGAGAGTGAAAAGAATAGCTCAGAAAGTGATCTTGAGAATAGAGAAGAAATCGATTCTGAGCGTCAGGTTGATGATAAAGCTAACTCAGCAAGTAGTGACAATGAAAATAATGAAGACGACGATAATGTTGCAATCGGTTATACTTCTGATAATGAAGCCGACATTGAATTTACAGATACATTAGAATCCGCAGTTCCAATGAGCATAGATCCATACAAATCGGTTGAGGAATCTGACTTCGATGAAGAAGAAGCTGAAGAACCTTCATCTCCTGGTGAAGTCTTTGACGAAGAGGATTTTTACATTCTTAGAAATAGTTGTCAAGGAATTTGAACAAGATACCGCCATATATACCAAGGATTCTATGGGAGAGATCAATTATGATGCCATCGGTATGGATTAAAATTTTAAAAAAGCGAATAGTCAATGATTCTTAAAGTTTATTATAAAATAGCAAATAAATGAATAAGATGTGTTATGATAGTTTTTATAAATAAAAGACTAAAATTTGTTATTATTATTATTATTATCTTTGAATAATTGAGTTGAGCTATTTAAATATATACTCATTTCATTTTCGTGCATGCTTATTGTATGTATTAATAAATAAATGTTACTAGATCACGGGTCAAAATCCAACAGGCTGATTTATATAAATAATTAAAAATAAAAATAATCTAAATTAATAATTAGATAGCACATGATGATCATCTGCATGACAATATGTAATTAATTTAATATATGATGATCATAAAGTGAAATTGATTTTTAAAAATAGTAATACAAAAGATAAAATAAAATACAGAAAGCAAAAGATAAAATAAAATACAGAAAGCACAAAATAAAAATATAAGCTAAAAGAAACATAACTAATTAAAATTGTTACAAATATATTAATATATAATTTTATTATTAATTTTATTTAATATAATGATTTATCTTATTTTAATATATATTATCATATTATTTTACTTAATATTAATTATAAAACTTCTATATATTTCTGATAAAAAGTAATAGTAATAATGCTTTTATATATATTTTATGCAGTATAGATTTTTACTAAAATTGAATCAAATCTCTAATAAAAATATTAATTAATAAGATAATATATTATATTTTTTATTTTAATTAATTATCAAAATATTTACTAAATTATATTAATTTATTCTTTACAAATAATATAAAATTAAATCATAAAGCTATTAAATATTTTTGATATAAAAAATATTATAATATTACTAAAATAACTAATAAATTTAGAATTTCTTTTTATTCTGTTAAATAATATATTTTTTTATAAAAATAATAATATTTAATAATTTACTATTTTAATTATTTATATAAAATAATAATAAAAAATATTATTAAATTAGAAAAAATCTTGAAATCAAATTATTTTATTACTTTAATTAAAATATAAATATGATTTAAAAAATTTATTCAGATTTTAAATCAATAATCAAACTATTTATAATAAGTTTTTAAACTTAATTATATTTTAATATTATTTTATTTCTTATCTCTATATAAAAAAAATTAATTTTAATAATTATATAATTATATTAATTATAATTAGAATAAGATTATATTCTTTATTAAAATATCTTTATCAATATCTATTACATATAGTTTTATTTTAGTAAATTAATTATATTAATAATAAAATTTTTATTTAAAATTCATATATAAATTAAAATTATATATATATTTTTATATAAAATATGAATTATTATTTTTATTATTAAATTCTTAATAATTATTTATATAAAAATATAACTTATATATTTAAATATTAATAATAAATCTTTAATAAAATAATAATTTCAAGTATATCTCAAATAAAATTTTGAAATAATCTTGAAATATAACTTTTATATTTTATTTTATTATAATTATCTTATAATTTAGATCCCAATTTTATAAAAATATTTGAATTATTCTTAAAATAAAATATAAAAAAAGAGTTAAAAAATAATAATATAAAAGCAAAATATATTACAAGAGATTTTTATTATATTAGTAAAGAAAAAATAGAAAAATTTTTTAAATATAATACTATTTAATAATATTTATAATATATAAAATTATATTTAAAAATATATTATTATAGAAAAAAACCATATAATATTTATATATAGTAATTATCAAAAGTAATATAATACTTAAATTATTTATTAATTATAATTAGTAAAATATATATTTTTTCTTATATATAAAAGTTTTTAATTTTACTAACAAATATTTTTTATTTTTAGCTCAAAAAATAGTTAAAGCTTTTTAGTTTAATATATATTTTTTTCAGATTTTTTATTAGTAACTTGTTTTAATTATATCCAATTATTAATTAATAAAAATTAATTAACTTTATATGTAATTAAAACAAGTTACTAGTAAAAAAATCTGAAAAAAATATATGTCAAACTAGAGAATTATAGCTATTTTTTGAATTAAAAATAAAAATATTTATTAATAAAATTAAAAACTTTTATATATAAGAAAAAATATGTAGTTTACTAATTATAATTGGTAAAAAATTTAAGTATTATATTACTTTGTATATAATATTTTAATTATATTTATAATAAAAATAATTTATTTTAAAATTAATTATTAATTTTTAAATAAAATTAATCATTATTACTTTTTATTAGAATTATATTTATTAATTTTTATTTTATTTAATAAATAATTATAAGAAAATTATTTTTATTAAGAAAAGATTAAGTAATATCTGATTATATTTAATAATTAGTATTTGAAAATAATTTTAATAAATATTTAAAAAATATAAATTTAAATATATAAATATTATAAGTTAAAAGAAATAATAATTTTTAAAAAAATAAAATTAAAAAATTATTAAAATCAAAATTAAAATTATAAATAAATTAATAAAAAGAATATATAAAATATATTATTAAATTAAAAAAAGAAATAATAATAAATAAATTATTATATTTATTAAAAAATTAAAAATTAACTTGAAATTTCTACTAAATTAATATTATAAATATATTAAGAATTTTTTATTATATTAAGTTTTTTATTTATTATTTTTAATTAAATTTAATAATTTTTTCTTATATCAATTAAAATTATAATTTAAATCAAAATATTTAGTTTATTAATTATTTATTTATTAATAAATATTAATTTATAATTTTTCTTGTAGAAAATTAAAAATTAAAAAAAGTATATCAAAGTAAATTTACTTATTTTTATAAAAATATTCTATTATTACTTTTTAAAAAAGTTATTTTAATTATAATTCTTATTTAATTTATAATTTTTATTAAAATTTTTTTTAATAATATATTTTTAATAAAGTAAAAAACAAAAATATCTTATAAGTTATTATTAATTAAATATAAATATTATTATATATATTAAATTTTGATCTAATATATAAAAAATTATATAATATTACCAATTTTAATTTTATATAAAATTTATATTACTATATTATACTATATAAATAAATATATTAACTCTAACTTATAAAAGTTTATTTTTATATTTATTAATAAAAAAACTAATAAAAATAATAAATATAAAATTCAATAAATAATTATAAAAGAGCTAAAAAAAATAATATTTAGAAATTTACTATAATTATATATTTAATAAATTATTTAAAATTTATAATATATAATTTAGTTAATTAACTTAAGAAAAAATTTAGTATTTTAAATCTAAAAGATCTCTTATTTTTATGTATAAATATTAATATTATCTTGATTTAATAGTATAAATTAATAAAATAATTATTATAACTGAATTAATTAAGAAACTTATTCAAAAAAATTCTTATCTGAAAGTTTTTGTTTATATTATTTAGAAGAAAATCTCTATATTTAAAATTTGTTATTTGTTTTTAACTTCTTTTTTGTAATTTATTATATTATAACTTATTTAAAATGAGTTTAAAAATATATAAAAATTAATTATACTTGTTTTATTTATAAATATTCTTAATACTATAAAATATTATTAAATATTTGAAACTTATCTTTTCTCTTTTATTTCTAAAGCAGCTCATAAGTTTTATTTTCAACAAGATAGCTCTTCAATTTATAAGATAAATAAAATAACTAATCTTTTTGAAAGATATGATATTCAAATTCTTGATTAATCCTTTTACTTATCAGATATAAATTCTATCAAAATCTGTAAACAATACTTAAGAGAAAGATAAAAAAAGATAAACTTATAATTAGCAAAAAAATTCTTAAAAATATTCAAGTGATAATTTATTAAAAATAAAAGGATTTGAATAAAAAACTCTTTCTTAGATTAGTGAATAGCATGAAAAATCAGGTTTTAGAGTTGATAAATTATGATAAAAAAAATTAATTATTAAAATTTTTTTATAGTTAGTAGTAATTTTTATAAATATAATATGAAATTTAAATAAATAAAAATAAAATTTTTTACTTATCATTATAAATGTTAGATATATATAATAATATCTGTAATTATAATTAAATTAAGTTTAATATTCAGGTTAAGAAATTATTAATTATTATTGAATTTAAATATTGAAATTTTGAGTAACTATTCATAATACTTGTTAAAATTTACAAATTTCAACAATATAATATCAAAGCCAAAATACTATTAATTATTAATATATAATATATCTTATTTGCCAATTTTTTAAAAAGCTACATTTTGGCTAAAAAAGATTTTTTGTCCCACCTTTCATTCCTGACCTATATCGATTTGTGTGACATCACTAAAGTAGATGGTTTACACACCCCTACAATATATTACCGGAAATTTCAAAAATGAAACTATCATTTTGAACCCAATTTCTTGTAATCTAGTGATCTCATTTAAATAAATATATTATCATAAGATTTGTGGAGTCGCGACAAATTTAATGGAGTATTTTCATTTAAATTGGATCATTGAATTTTGAGATTTTGGATTTCAAAGTGACAGATTATTTTTTAGGATTTCCGGTAATATATTGTAGAGGTGGGTGTGTACGCTGTCTCCCACTGTATGTGTTGAGGTGTACCATTCTTAATTGAAGATAACTCGACCCTTAGTAGAACGTATGGCTTATAATTCATTTTTTCTGATGACTCAGGAATCACTTGCTCAGATGGCTTTGAAGGAGACCCAACTATCAGGCTTCAAATGAGACCGAAAGGTTGATGTTCAACCCTCTATAGGTTTTGCCATATGGTTGAGTTGGAATCATTCTTAATTGAAGATAACTCGATCCTTAGTGGAACATATGGTTTATAATTCATCTTCCTTACGATACTCGGGAGTTTGATTCGAACCCCTATACTTGGAGATTTGTATGGATGGGCTTCTTT